ATAAATTTTCGGGTGTACAACTTATGAAAGAGAAACATGCACAGTAAACGGGCGCCACATTTATTTACCAACACTTTTTTCGCGAGGGGAATTAAATAACGAAATTGGCTCCTTCACGACCAAACTCTTGGCATCCAAACATAAGTTTAAACAGTAAATCACCACGTGTTATCATCATTATTTCATGGTGTGATTGTGCCGTTTTGAGAGGTGTCCGAATGACGGGACTTTGTTATTACTCTGGTTGCTGGTGTCATCGTCGTCGAGTTTGCACTCGGTCACTATAAAATGTAGAAGGCTTCGTGTTTTCTCAATTTACTAGTACGAAAAATCTTACTCGTATAAAAAGTAACTTCTTGACATTAGAACTGTTTCTTTTTTTTTTGTTTGGTCCTTTACTTTTTCAGTTCATGGACAAAACACCAAGACTTGCGTAAGAGGTGAGGCAATCTATATCTTTCTCTCCGGTGTGTTCTCAATACAGGCCTGTTTGTGTGAAACAGCACTGTATAGATAAGCGATATGTACAGTACGATTTGCGTGCGCTAAATGTAAACAAACTGGTAAGTTTAGGCTGTAGCAAGCAGTGGCCTCCAAGATTGACTCCGGCTGCATGCCCAGCCACAGTCGATCTTATAGAGGCCACGTTATAGAGGACATGCTTCTGTCTTGTACTCATAGGGGGTGTCAAAAATTTTCTCTTTTCCTTTTTTTTTTCAAAAGGGGAACAGATTGAATCCACGGCTGGTGAGCTCATTTTGTCGAGACAATAAAGAAGGCAACTGATGCCTTGTGTTTTAACTGTGTCTGCTCCTGGAGGTCGCAAAGAGAGGGTGGTGGGCCGAAAACATGGGCAGAAGGTGGGGCAGCCTCCCCATGCTGCCCACAGTTCTCCGTTACTAACGCCGCAATAGATGACACGATAAAGTGAAATGCTGGGCCACTTGGTACAACATAATGTGGAAATATATGAACGCACAAGGTAGAAGTCTTTCCTGTCAAGTTCTTGTTCCTTCTACTTTGTGCGCTCATATATGAAGGCACGGATTCCCCACTTCTGTCAGCATCTTCTGTCGTCACCGTACCGTCATAACCTCATCATCATAGCAACGCTTACCTGCCTTGGCTCTGCCCTCACAGCTTGTACTCTCTGTTTCAGGCTCCTCACCAAGGTGACTGTGTACTACCACACCTTTACGTCGGAGAACGCCTTCGCGGTTCCCCTGTATGACGTACGTACGCCTTTCACGTACTCATGCTGTGACACATAAAAGTTTAGTCGTTAGCACTCAGCGAGATAGATGAAAAGAAATTGTAACAATCACATAGGCTTACCATAGAACAGACGAACAAACACAGCATTATTTAGGGGCGTTAATATTTTTTGTTCACGCGTGTGTGTGTTTAGGCAGGTAACTTCGTGGCAGTGGTTCCCGAGTGCGAACAGGGTTTCAAAGTGTGCGCAACACGTTCACATCTAATGTTTGAAGTGAAACTCAAATTCTTAGTCACAGGATAGGATACAGACTATGTATCCTATCCGGTGCATGTAGTGCATATTTTCACCTGTCGTCGCCCTAAAGCATGCTATCCTCTTCTCTTAACGCTGTGCGGTGATCCCTGCTGTCATGCCGAAATGTGCTTCACGTCATAGTTGCACTAAATGAAACAGAAAAAGAATTACCTATTGATTACGTTTGCGAATTCTGAGTTTCCCCATACACAACTTATTCATAGATACGTGCGAACTCACTTTAGAAGAGTCGCACCTGCTCACCGAATACTCGGATAAAGATGCCATTTTTTCGCATCTTCACTCTGACTTGTTCAAGAGTTCACTAGACACACAGTCGTATAGCATGACAGCACTGCTTTTATCGGTTGCCTTCTTCTTTTGCGCAGGGAAACAGCGTGCTCAACAATGTTGGGCGCATCAATGGAATCTATCTGGGAGTTTCTTTTCTCGTGATTCTACGTCTTCTGGACACCGTCGTCAGAGGCATCCACTTTCACAGGGACGGCACCTTCACCTGCTACGACGAGTCTGACGGAGTGGCTTAGGTTCTCGTGTGGCGTGGCGCTGACGATCGAAATATCAATAGCACATGATGTTCAGGCACTAACTTATGCAACATCACTTAGAGAAAATATTGCTTGTTTTAGGGGTGAAGCTCCTGAAGGCGTGGGTTGGTCGTATGTAGTTGTAGTAGGTAGTCATCTCTAGTTTAGTTTTTCGAGTGTTCGCTAGATGGCGGTACTTGTAGTTGATAAAAGTTGTTGAAAAGATGCGAAATGTTATAAAACTAGATGGCGGTACATGTAGCTGATAATAAAAGATGCGAGACGTTAATAGGAATGATGTCCCTTATGGTGCGTATAATTGGTGGAAGGCAATCGTTCGGCGACCTATGCTAGGGGACGTGGTGTATTAAAACTCGTTCGCTATTAGCGCTCGCTCGAAGTGTTTCACATTTAATCGTAGGGCGAATTGCACAGAAAAGTATCACGGCTTACCGATGATTCCTTCCGGAGCTCCGCCCCACTCATCATCATTAACCCGTTAATTTGCTGTAATTTTTTTTTCAGCTGGTTTAGTTTGTTCATACTTTCAAGTAGGACGAGTTCGTGCAAACGTGAGAAAATGTGCAAGAATCACCTGCAATCACGCTGCCAATGTCTAGAGAGTTGCCATACGGCTTTATAAGACTACCATCGTCACTTCAAAAAAGAGCAGTACCGAAACGGAGCATTGAATAGAACTGTCACTTGGCAAAATTATGTGTATTGTCAGGGACTACACTGTGATGTGTTGTAGTAGCTTCTCTTGCGGTCTTGTGCGTCTTTATTTTTTTTTTCACTAATGTGTAACGCTGCACCCCGCCGTAGAGACTTGATGTCTGGGATACAGCGTGCGTGGAGTGCTTATTGGAAGATAGAAAATATGGTACAACTGTTTCATTAAATGCGAACAGCTCAGACACCATGGTATACCTCTCGTTTTTTACTGCAGCACTGCTATACTTCCTGTTCTACTCTATATCATCCGCTGTCACCTATTGCTCCCAACTTGCGAGAAAAGAATAGATGTAGCGAAGACGCCATATGGCTACGCATAAAGAAAGAATGAATGCTGGGGGCATCTTTTTTGTAACGGGGTGGTGACTTGTGTGGCGCATATTACCTTTTTCATATTACATTATGTATCTAGCAGCACCACAATTGAGTAATCAAGAAATTCCGTTAAGAGAGCGAGTCAGCAGAGCCAAAGACTCTCTCAGAGGCGAGAAATATGCGCCTTGACAGCTTGACAGCCGAGAACAGACTCGCGTTCATTTAAAACTAAGGAGAAAGACGAGTGCGATGCGGAGCAAGTCCGCTTGATTGAGAGGTCACGTACTGCCACACTGTCAAAAAGGAGCGAGGAAAGTTGTGGTGCGAACCAAATAGCACATCGTATTTGGTGCCGCGATGATATACTATGGTAAAATGGGGTAGAGTCGCGTTCAATATGAGTTGTGACACCCTTTCTGTTCTCAATATAGCGCGAATAATGCGAAGTGGCCGCTACAAAGAAAAAAAAAACATTATTCAGGCTTCGGGGCACTCTACGTCTTGCAACTCACATTGATGGCTACTGTACATCGCTCGTTATCACGTGCGGGTGCGGCTGTTCCTGTAACAATTCAGCAGGTAGTTTTTATAGGCCAATAACGACTGCTGCAACATTGCTGCCACCACTCCCATCACTGTATAAATTCGCTGTTTGTTGTTTTCATGGCATGTATTATCTAAGAAAGAGGCAAGCATTTTCCTTTGATCATATAAGTTGTGAGCACATTTAGAGCGTATACACGGGAGCCAGTACAACACGGAGCTATCAGCGACGCCCATGCGTACACCTATACGTGAGGCTCGGAACAAGGGCAGCGCTCAAGCGGGGAGGCTATATCCATCGCACGCACCGCGTCATCAGTGCGCACCTTTCTCGAAGGCGCTCATCGATGGCGCGATAGTAAAGTGATCATGCTTCTGACATACTGCGCATCTGCCGAGCCACGTCTTGCTTTCGGTATAGGACTTCACTGGTAGTGTCGAGTGGCACGAACTCCCGTATTTACACGAGACGCCTTATATTTCTTATGGAGCGTGTGCTGTGAACCACGTCCTGGACACTTCGTTTAGAAGCATTCAGACTGCATCATCGCATACTGTCTATCAGAAAAAAACTGGTTTACGAAAGGAATCAGCTGATGGAGAAAAACAGAAATAAAATGCTCGGTCGCCAGCGCAGACGCGATATAGTATATATACCTGCTTTACTCAGCGTACGGGGCAAGGAAAGAAAAAAAAAAGAGGTTCGTAAAGACTTTCTCTGGGCCATCAGCAAAGGAAAACGCTGCGAAACTCTATAATGGTGGCTCAATGAGCTTGCTGTGATGACATTTACTTTGTTGTAAACCGTGATGAAGGCATAGAGAAGAAGGATCATAACGACACACAGCCAACACAGCTCTGCGCCCGCTTCTCTTCCTCTGTTTTGTTGTCTTTGATGCGTTATCACGATGTAGGAAACGAAACCAATGTACTATCTTGAGGCCGTCATCATTTCACCTCTTGGACAATATGTACATGGATCAGTCAAAAGAGGGGATCCTACCCCCACCCCCCACACATGTTGTCGCGTTTTGCATGTGTATACACACGCGAACGCACATGGACGCTGGCACTGTTTGGACTTGGGGGTGCAAATTTGTTTTGTCATGGTGGAGGTGAAGGGAGAGCTGTGACGGGGGCAAGCCGCCTTTTCGCAACCCCCCGCCAACGCACATGCGCAAACACACAAACGCATTATAGACATGCATGGCAGGTGATTGAACTTCTACCCACAGCCCCCCCCCCCTACAAAAAATATTTCTAGCTCTAACCCTGGTCATATACACAGTATCCTGAACGTGTTAACTTATAACATGCAGTAGGCAACATTTCTTAAGAAGAGCGTATGCTTTGGTGAAACAATTATTTTATTTTATTCTCTGCGTGGCAGTCACAACCAAGCGGAAACAAACGCGAAACCCAGCAGATGTCAGTGGCGTGGTCAGGCAGCCATGTGGGCGCACTCGTGGTTGTTGACCGAGATCCTGTCTCCGTTCTTGCACACCGGGAAGCTCTTGCCCAGCAATGTAAGTGCGGAGCAGTGACCGCGCACCCGCTCCGTCTGGGCAAGGGAATGTGAAACATGGGCGAAGGAAGAGAAAGGAAACATTGCTTTAGAGTTAACGGGAGACGCTTTTCCTGTTGCGTGGCAGCCATGTCCCAAGTCAACCCGGCCATACTTAAAACGTGCAACTATATCGACCGCACGCTCAAGGAAACTATTTTCCATCTATTCACTTTCAGAGACCAATCTCAGCCGAAGATAAACCGGATTACGAACGTGAAAGGCCGATGCGGAAGAATACGTAGAGGTAATCTGAGCTAACAAGGCTATGGATGTTAGTATAGCTCACTATATCAACCTTCGGATATTTTTAACGGGATTGTGACGTTGATTAAGGCAGCGATCAGAGCGTTCAAGATGAAACACTTTATTTGGGTGAACCCGCGCCCGGCGAACGAACGGAGCGTCGGTAAACTGATCTGCGGTGAGCTGCGTTGTAATTTATACATGTGGCATCAAACATTCAAGCCTCATCACACGTGCTTGTATAAGCTCTCGAATAAAGTTGACTGTTCGCGTCCCGCGTGTGATCTTAACAGAAGGATTTAAAACAATCGGGAAGTTTACCAAACATTTCAGCATCGTCAGCGCTGAGCATTGATAAGGTTTTGTGGGTTAAATAGGAATACATCACAACCACATAACAAACGCGAGTGTCAATTAATACCACAATGGTTTACTGTAACCGTGACTTTTGCTGTTTCATTGCGCGCGATTCTAACATTAAACAGTTCTTTTTACGTGGTCGCCTTTTCATAGTACGAAAGATAAGTTTGACGTACAGAAAGGTCGATTTACAACTGTGTATATAGGATTGTATTCTACTCTAGAATTTTACTTCTCAAGCTGTGAGACCATTCCCAAGTTTCGAGCTGGCAGCAGGCTCTAGATTTTTACACAATTGTAGAGAATGTAGTTTGGGTATCGATACGAACTATAAAGCCAGTGAAACAACCGCATATTGTTAATGACAAAATATCTTCGCATTTCCTTCGAGCTATTGATCACCTCGAGGCATAATTAGACCCCTGCCGTAAATCAGGTAATTCTTCGCCTACTTCGCAAGTGCTGAAAGAGACGTGCGTTTGTTGCTGTTATGAATCGCATGTCGTTATGGTAGCGTAGTATAACCTACGTATACGTAGCGTATGTCACCAGCAATTTTATCAAGCTGAAATTGGTGCAAATACATGAAATCATTTAGTGGTTATGTGCAGAACTAACCATAAGATCATCAAATCACAAGTTGCTCACTTCCCTGTGTATCTTGCAAACAATAACAGATGGATGACATCGTTTTTCGTTCTGTTTTGTCTTCCTTTGTAAGCCCACAACCCAGCAAAACACTACAAACAGCCACCATCAGCCCCAATTCATCGCTCATTCATTCTACTGATAGCATGCACCTAACGTCTTGAACGCAGCTTTTTACAATATACTCACTACTGATACTTTAACATGACATCTGTGGTGACGTCAGTGCAGCATAAACACGCTGTGTTTAGCATGCTTCTCTGTGATTACGACGCGGGCGGAACGCTATTACCTTCTGTGCATAAATAACGAAAGACCCTGCACTCAATGTACGCATAAAATTTACGGAGCATCATCATCTTCGCACGCCACTTATACCAACGTAACTAGACGTTGACATATACGGGGATAGCGCGTATAGGACTCCGACCGTATGCGACGTTCGTGAAGTCTGATGGCTAGGCGATAATGAGTCGCCCCTGCTCACCACTTGCACTTCAATGTGACAGTCGTGTTGAGGTAGTGCCGCCAGTGCTGGAAGTTCGAGTTCACCGGCGACGGTGACAGTGCCGGAGCTGCCTGGGGTGCCCGACGCCTTGAAAGAGTCCACTTACCCAGAACCTGCGTGTCTCCTTCGCTGTGCAGCAACGCCTGCAGCGATTCCGGCATCTGCGCATGCGTGGGCAAAGCGGAAATCAACATATGAGTGAGTGACGTATAACTAGTACTCACAGTTTTTGCTAACGCATACGGTATTCTAAAGAAAGTTGTTGCTCAGTACATACTGAAGTTGCTCTATTGTAAGACCAGCGTATTGTTCAGGCGACATTCAGCCACTATTTATATTGCTCAGTTGTTACGGATTGATATTGTTATGAGCGTCAGAATCCGGCCATCTAATCGAACTGCCTGGCCGACACAAGGCCAAATGAACCTTTCATTATTGCTCGTGCATGTCTTGCTGCTCGATTTGAATACTCTATGGTAGTATGCAGCTCAAGGAGTACAGAGGGGCACCGCGCAGCTAAGCAGCTTGTCCCACATATGCACTCGGCAATTTTTTTCGAAGGCGAGATCACCAGCCGTTCGGCTTACGACTTGAGTCTAAAGTGCATGCTGATTTATGCAAGTTGAGTACATAAGCCTTTGAGGATAAAACGACGACTGACTTCTAAACTCATATCCGACTACAGACTGAACGAAACATGCGTCTGCGGTGCCCTAACGTATATTTCTCTGGTAGTTTGTCAAACGATGCATGACTTACCAGACCGCGATTCCTGAAGAAGCCTTCGTCGGCGCTTGACTCCCGAAAAAACGCTCCCAAGATCAGCACCAAGGCGAAGGACGTAGCTGACAAAGCAGTCATGGTTGCACTCTGGACGCAAACACGCAAGAACATGGTATAACGTATTTGAGCCTGGGAATTGCAAAAGCTTTTCGTACGTCACAGCGCGTACATGCTTCTACGTTATAAATTTTTAGTTATGAATTTTTAGTTTAAAACTTTTGTGATACAAAAATGAACTGGAAAAAGAAATAGAGTCGAAATTGAACGAAACACTTGCCCACATTAATTCAGGCAAAAGTGAAATCATCTCGTGAATATCCGCGATTCGTAACGTGAGACACACATCTACCACACACGTTGTAAAGATGAACAAAGCTGAATTTCAAATCTGACCTGGACCTATCTACTGATCATTTTCCCCTGCGATAAACACCAATGTGCTAGAAATCAATCAACGTGTGATTATCTAGCTTTCCATGCATGTGGTCGTGCCCACAGTGACCCTCGCTTGAGCTTTCGATGATCTATCGTTTTCCTACACCCCCTCCTCTCCCTGCTTCGGGTATAACCGGGAACTGCGTGCTACCTCTTTCCCGTGGGTGGTGTTGCCGTCTGATTATTGATTGATTGAATGATATGTGGGGTTTAACGTCCCAAACCCACCATATGAATATGATAGACACCGTAAGGAAGGGCTGCGGAAATTTCGACCACGTGGGGTTCTTCAACGTGCACCCAAATCTGAGCACATGGGCCTGCAGGATTTTCGCCTCCATCGAAAGCGCAGCCACCGTTGCCGACATTCGATCCCTAGACCTGCGGGTCAGCAGCCGAGTACCTTAGCCACTAGACCACCGCGCCGAGGCAAGGTGTTGCCGTCTGCACGCAACTCGACACTGTTAAATTGCTCTCGATGCATAAGAACGCACCTATTGTAAACCCCTTTTGGAGCAGTAGTTTGAAGTAAGAAAGGATGATTACTTAAGCAACACGTCATAGAGCACGCGGTGCAGCTTCGTTACGGGTAAAATAAATGGTATTGAAAAAAGAAGGTGGAAAGGAGAGGCCACCTTCTCTAAGCGAGAGCACCCATATCTTGCCTCCCATATACACACAGAGCGCTATAGAAAGAACTGTCATGCCTAGCCTACGCGTAATTTTTGCTTTCCGCTACTTCTGGGACTAGCATCCCCGTCCTGCTGGTTAGGCACATGAGCCATTGTTTTATACCATACCATGGTCTTTTCTCTCTTCGTAAGCTTTATTGCACTTGGTCTGTATACATAATTTCACGCATAAAACAGTACATTGTTTCGTAAATGTCCAATGGTTCGTGAGGGCCTTTTTACAGAAGCACTCGACAGAACGGGGGGGGGGGGGGGGGAATGCAAGCATCGAAATAGTGCAATAAAAGTCAGGCCGCTTAGCACCACGAGGAAAAACAAACCTGAGCTTGCGTGTCTCTCCAAAAACAAAGCTTCTCCTGAAGTCGCATGCACCAGTAAAGATTGTTCGAGGGAGACCAACCCTATTGCCACCAGCACATGGTGTTTGTAACGACATTACCTCAACCCAACGGGCATACCAGCACTATCATCTTCACACGACGTGCTACTGCCCATAGGGGGAACAAAGTGAGCGTCATACAACCAGGTTCATTGTCTTCTCTGCTACGTAGCGCTTGAAGACACATAAGTACCAACCGGTCCAACCGTGCCAATCAACGCTTTTTCGTGGCTCATGGAGATCCGGCTTTGTAAACAATGTCCACAGTATCTTTCACATTCCTCAATGCCCATCTTATCTCTATACGAGGACCCTGTATGGTAGCACGTATTGGTCTCTCTCGAAAACGACCTAAAGCTCTTTTTGTCTCAGTTCTATATACGCTTATTATCTGTCGAAGGCTTCGGGCATTCCATTTTCAATGTCCACGGACGGAGCGTAGTCAGGCCAACGCACAGTTATCCCATCCGAAACCTCCACAAGTCGCGGCATCAAATCCCGGCTGCGGCGGCCGTATCTTTGATGGAGGCGAGAACGCTCGAAACCACGCGCCGCGGTATCCGTATTTTTTATGGAGGTGAAATCGCTCGGGACCCATGTACTTCAGTTTAGGAGCTCATTGAAAAAACTCAGGTGGTCAAAATTTCTGGTGGTCAAAATTTACCAACTCGCCCAAGCTTCCACGCTTCAATATTTCTGGAGCTCTCCACTACGGTGCATCTCATAATCATCCGGTGGTTTTGGGATGTGAACCCCTATCAATTAATAATAATATTATTAATCCGATATCCATTAAGCGAGGGTTGCTTCTCAGAACAATGACATCATTGGAGACCGTAGGGTTAAAGCTTAACACCAAGTCGGCAGGCGGCTGCTCTTGTTATAAAATAAAACTACTACCTTGTAACGCTTCCGAATCTCCCAAGTTTACCAGCTGGATTGAACAGCGTCTCTCGGGAGCAGCTAGACGTAGATACTTGAATAATGCAGCGAAAACATTCTGCTCGTACTCACCTTAGAGACGTTGATCGCCGACTCGACTCAACGGCTACGCAGGGAGATACACTTGCCCGTGGAGTGCACAACTGGCTGGTTCGCTTTCCCAAAGCTTTCTGGTCTTAACGGGGCACTTAGCTGCACGCTTATATGCTATAGCCATGGCCTTAAGCAACGCCGGCCAGCCTTTGTAGTTATTCCCTCATTTCCTGCGGCCGCAGTACTATGCCACGGCGTCGCGACGAAACCCGCCAAGTTGTACCCAGAGGTTGTCGAATGGAGCCACCCCTTTCTGCACGTTTCTTTCTCTTTTCGAACGAACAAGATCGACATCCTTGTATAAGTGCCTACAAGGATCCGCGCGCGATTCGCGAAGATTTAGAGAAGCCGTATTGAGGGAGAGCTGCTTGTAGAGGGAATCTATATATACCATTCATTATCCTCCTGGACACTGTTATTGCGAACGAGACATGGTCTGTTTTTTATTTGTCTGTCTGTCTGCTTGTTTTTTCGTTGCTGTCGTTATGTGAATTGCACACTGATATGCGTTTTGCCAGTACTGCCCATTTCAAAGAAAAAGAAAACCGCCAGGCCTGCGTGCAACGCACAGCACAGTCACAGCGAGATCGGAAAGAGTGGGCTCTGATAACTTTTTTAAACCGTCTTTGAGTAACTGCTATAAGCACACCTGCAGGGTACCCACTACGCCATAGATCATCAGCTATCTTGTGTAGTAGGGAGACATTCAATATGTCATCCTTCGCCATTATTCGGAGACACGTGCTACCACACTTGCAAGGAATTTTGTGCAATGTTTTATGCTGTGGCTCATGACGAGGAATAATTATAGCTGAAGCTTGAGTGATGAGTTGGAGCATTCGATGGCCCACTTGTTACGCAATTCACATTGTTTGACGCCTGCTTGTTCCTTTGCTGTTCTAAAACGCTTTATTACTCATACTAGCACGTGATACATTTCCCGACATCAAGCGTGCCAAGGCGATCAACAAAACTTTTGAGAGCAAAATGACTACCACGCTAACCTTTCCCATGTGTATAGCGACACTGAACGTACGCGACATGAGGAAAGTAAGGTGTCAGTGGCAGTTGCACCACGTGATTGAGCAGTACAAAATTGATGTATCTGCAGTGCAAGAGACTAAGATTTCGTCTCCTCGTGACGCCGACTTTGCACTGGAAGTTTTTTGAGATTATGATCTATACATGAGCCAAGCCCATGGTGCTTCCGCTGGATGCTTTCTATTAGTTTGAAAGCGGCGATATCAACTCTGACATAGCTATACATGTTTATGGTGAAGGCCACCTCATTTGTTATGACTTTTTTTTTTCATTCCTACAATTGGAGGTTTATCTGTGTCTATGCTCCCACCTAGGTAAATGACAAGAATGTGTTTTTTTTTCCTCTCTTCAACTTCGCTGTTAACAATGACAGAAATTTGGTAGTTTTGCAAGACGTAAACTGTTTTTGTGATGCTAGAGATCATTCATGTATAACGAATCGTTTGATGCAAGTGCAGCTTTACTGCATAAAATAATGAATGACCACAGTTTATTCTCAGGGTGACTCTCTTGCTTGGCTCGACCGTGTGTATGTATCTGTGAGCCTATGGTCTCATATTCATAACATTCATAATTATGTTGTTAAGCCCATATTTTATACAGACCATTGCTTAGTCACTGTTCTTGGGGACAATAATTTTTCGTAAGGTCCCTCTAAACTGGGACCTATGGAAGCTTGACGTACACTTGTTTTGCGAGCATTGCTTCGTAAAAATAGTCAAATAATAATTGATACAAGAGGTAACACAGTGTCGGCAGCTGCCAATCTTTGCTCAATGAAAAAGGCTCAAAGAAAAAGGTAAGTATCAGACGATTAGTATTTCATGAGAAATAGCTCAAATAGAGAACGCTTAGAAACGCTGTTGGTATTATTGACTTCACAAGCTCCATATTTTTTAATGTGAAGAGCCTGGATTGTACGTTGATGAGAGAAATGTAATACGAGCACAGATATCAAAACATGACACAGATGTACGGGCTATCATTTGTTCCCGTGTTACTCATTTCACTGAAGAGAAACCTACTAAGAGAGCTCTCAGGGATGAAAAGTGATATGCACTTTCTAAACAGATACTGCAAATTGAGTCACAGAGTTCTCGTTACACAGATACATGTGAAATAAGAGCCACGCTTGAGGATTATTACAAAAGTTTGTTTGCCGCGGCTGAGCTTCAGGAGAATTTTGAGGAGGAAGCTGGCCACTTCATTGCCCTTGTACCCCACTAATAAGAGGATGACTGACTCACTGCTGATAAGCCCGTAACCGGGAAAGAAATCAAGTTTGCAATAACAACGTTCCAGAAGAACAAAACTCCTGGCTCAGGCGGCCTCAGTGGGAAATTTTAAATAACATTCTAGGAACTTCTGATACCTTTCCTGGAGCAACGTTTTAAAGAGGCTTATTAACGTTAGGAACTTCCTGCTTCCTTCTATCAGGACCAAACAACATTAATCCCCAAAACTACTGATCCTGAAGCATTAAAGAAAGTCCCTGGATATTGCCCTATATTGTTATGCAACGTCGACTAAAAATATTTGCGAAATTGGTGACCGATTGGCTACATATGGTGATCACTAAGTCTGTAGGGGACCATCAAGCATGTGAAATTCGTAATCGCTATATTCAGACAAATATCTATATAGCATGGTCAGTCCTTTACTATATTCACAGTAGTATTGACAGCCTTCTGGCAAATAGACCTTGCTAAAGTATTTGGTAAGATACAGCATGCTTTTTTGTTCCGGCTCATAAGGCACCTGCCGTTAGGTGATGTACTGTACTATAGTATTTCACTCTGTTATAAGAAGTGCACTACAAGGCTAATTATAAATCACACACTTTCCAATATATTATACTTGAATTTACGTGTACGTCGGGGATGTTCGCTCCCAGTATGGCTCTTTGCAATTTATATGAAGCCATTATGTTTAAGTGTGGTTCTAAATTCTAGCATAAAATGATTCCGATATGGGGCTAAGAAAGTTGATGTTCTAGGCTATGCAGATGGTATTGCCTTCTTTTTTGTTTATAAGCCCAGTGTTCAAAAAGCAGTAAACACTACTTTGCGTTTCTGTGAAGTCGCAGGCGCCAGCATAAATTTTGACAAAAGCCGAGGATTCTGGCTAGGCATGTACGCCGAAACTCCTTCGGTCTTCTCAAATATTCATTGAAATGCAACTCCTGTGTGGTATGTTGGTGTCGCTCTCGATAACTATTGTAATAGCGGCCCACATTGGACGTCTGCGATAACTACGATTCTCTGAAAAATAGCAAGGACGAGACATTTCTATCTTTTTGAGAGCGAAAGCGTGCAATATATTCTTTGCATCAAAGCTCATTTATGTTCTCAAGGTATTGCAGTGCTCACGTGGGAACATTCAAGCATTTCACTGCATATTTGTATGTTTTGTTTGGTGCTCTTCATATGAAGCTATGAGGAGAGACAACCTTTTTTTTTTTTTCGCTTAAAAAGGGTGGCTTCAGCCTGGTGTTTGTTTGTGTGACACTTGGTGTAGAGATTTTTTTTTTATCTTGAGGTCGTGTGCCACCCCTTTCTTTTAGCGGTCCTTCAAACCGTCTGTGTTACCACGTTCCTTTTATTTATGTCACAACAGCTAAAGAATTACAGTGGGGGGGGGGGGGATTCATAAAAAAATTGTTGATACTATCATTTTATTAAAGGAAGATTTTAGTTTAGAGTGTTTGTATAGTTGTTGCAGAAAAACTTTGACCACCCCACTTCTGAGTAACCTTTTCCCGGAACCTGTTTATCGACTTCCATATTCGCAATTGTCTTCACACCATGTACTATTTCGTGCTCGTAGAGTGTGTATAACTCTTGCCACGAAAGCATTTTGCTTTACACTGTGCACTTCTACTCTACCAGTGAAGACGTGGCTCAACGAAAAATCAATATATGTGCCCTGGGCAGTAAACTGTAGACTATGCCACCAACATGAGACGATAGAGCATTGCTTTATTTGTTGTCGTGAGGCATTTTATTTTTGGGACATTCCGAAAAGAACAATCAGAAAATAA